CGTACCACATCGGTCAAGTTTGTCTCCTCTACCGTTTCGGCCCCGGACTGATGCTCCTCCTCGGACTGGTGTTCAGCGTTAGTCTTCCTTGTCTTCACCATGACGTCGAAACAGTGCTGGATACGTCTTTCTCGAGAGCTATCGGTTCGGCCCCACGGTGGGCGCCAAAATGTACCTGCCTGAGGGTACACTCGTAATCTTCAGGGGAATATGAGGACCGAACGAGAGCTTTAGGTGGATTCTTCGGAGGGGGAGGTACCTGCAAAAGATACTCCGATGCTTAAGTCAGTGTGGGCACGATTTTCTAGGGTAATGAATGAACAGTGACATACCTTGTTACGTGTGACCTATTTATAGCATCTGACATGGGCCTGAGCGTGATGGGCCCTCTCAGATATTTACCAAATTAGGTAATACGGTACTAATTGGTCGTTTAGGCTTTAATCATGTACTTACCTTTCTTGATTGTGATTACTTGTTATGACTTGCTTAACCCTTCGGCAAGAGGCCGAGCCTGCTAATCAATACTAGTCGGAACGGCAAATGACCGAACCGTCTAGTCCGTATACGGCAGCCTGTATACTTCCGGTATGTTCTATGTCGGAACGGTACCTGACCGAGCCGACTCGATGAATGATGATGGTCCATATTTGCATTAACCAGACTGATGTCGGTTCTCGGCCTCATGCCGAGCCGACGTTGATGGTGATGCTTGTACGTGGCTATGCATGGGTGTCTGACGAAATGGCACGTGTTGGCCCACGTGACCGATACGGTCTCTCCGGTACAATAATAATAATGTTAAAAATTATTGTTTTATTAATTAGTCTTAAAAAAGGTTGAAATAAGATTTTATTTTATGTAAAATTAGTTAATTTTGATTTTAATATTCGGTAACTCTTTTTCTTATTTTTCATCTATTAAAATTAAAATTATTATTTTTAGTTTTAATTTCTTATATGATTATTTTAATTACTTGTTATTGATTAAAAGATTAAGTGAACATTTTCTCAATTACTTAAGACTATTAATTAATAATATTATGTTAGTGTAACGACCCGGCTGGTCACTACACATGGCATAGCACACTAAAAATACCAGACAGATAGAGCAATAGGGTCTAGAATATATAAATATACAAGGTTCCAGTCTGACTAGAGTTAAAGTGTACCAAAGAAAATTACAACCAAATGCTACTATCCCAAGTAGCCACAAGCAAAACAACATCACCAAGCAAAACAGCTGCAAGGTCCGCCGGAGACTCACCACAAGACGCCCACCTATTCCTGCCCTGCTCCCATACATAGTATGATCATCGCAGTCCAATAACATGGAAAACAACAAAAGGGTAAGCTAGTGAAATTAAAATTCAACATACAATTATATAAATATCAATATAAATAACAACAGATACGGTTATCAGCACACTTGTACAACTTATACCACTCAACAATATCAGCAGCGCAATGCGGCAATATTAGCACTGCTTAGCAGCAACAACAGCACCACTCAAGTGGCTATAACGGCACCGCAAAGCAGCAACAACAGCATCGCCTTAGCAGTTAGAATCAGCACCACATGTGTGGCTAACAACAGCACCGACTTAGCGGCTATAATATCACCCAACTCAGCATAGCTCAGAACAGCACAGCACAACACAGCATAACACAGCACAACAATTTAACAAAATTATTATTTTCTACAATTCAGCCCAACAGTCTATAATTCCGCTATACTATAAAATTTCTCTTATTAATCCATTGATTCCAGCTCAACAATACACCTCTAATACAGCTAACATATTTATCTCAGCTTTATCCCTTAGTCATCACAGCATATTCATCAAATTCAACTTGGTTCAGCATATAACATCATTGATTAACAATTTCGGCACAACTCAACAACCAACATCATATAGATCATCATCTCCTTGCGCGCCTGGCGCACTCGAGGTCGCGCCCAGCGCGGCTTGACCCGAGAGCACCAGGACCAGCGCGCCCAGCGCAGGAGTACTCGCGCCCAGCGAGACTCAACCCGAGAGCACCAAGGCTCTCTCGCGCTTGGCGCAATTCCAAATTGCGCCCAGCGCCTGCCTGGCAGAGACTCAAGGAGTCTCGTGCGCTCAGCGGGGCCTAACCCGCGCCCAGCGTGGGGAAGGCAGAGACCTACCAAGGTCTCGCGCCCAGCGCAATTCGCAATTGCGCCCGGCGTGCTCTTGGCAGAGACTCCCAAGGAGCCTCCGCGCCCAGCGAGTCCAAAAGTGCGCCTAGCGCGGCCCAAGTATCCCAAAAACATGTTACTCTTGATATCGCGCCCAGCGCAGCTCGAGTCACGCCCGGCGCGGGCCAACCAGAGACTCCCATTTGCAAGCTCGCCCAGCGCACACAGCCTTGCGCCCGGCGGGCTTGCCTAAACAGAGTCTCCTGATGGTCGCGCGCCCGGCGCGAAGAACAGCGCCCAGCGCGAACTCATCAGTAACTCTCCCAAGTTCGAAAAATTTCCAAAACCTGCAAAATTTCACAGAAAACTCACATGCAAACGGTTCAAAGTGCCACATTTTCATCAAAGAGCTCGAAAGTACCAGCTTTATGCGCATGCAACAACAGATCAAAGAAAATCCCAAATTTTGACTCAAAACCACAAAACCCCAATTTTTCCAGCAACTCAGCCAAACCCAATCAATCACCAGCAGCCAAATGAGTTCCCAACCCATTTTCCAGCCAAAAACGCAGCCAAAATACTAACTTCCCTTACCTTGAATCCAGAAATTCGAGCTCCGGGAACTTGAATGAAAAAAAGAAGAATGAAAGGGAGCTTGAACAGAGAGGAAGAACAAGCTTGCGGACTCAGCTCTCGGGCAAGGAATCAGTTCTCCTACCACTTGCACCTAGGGTCACCAAGATTCACCACAAGAAATTTGAGAGAAAAAAAATGAGTGAGAGTTGAGGAGAAGAAAATGAGTGAAGGAGGAAGTGAGTGAGAGAACAGGGCTTCACAGTTAGTGTTTCATACTTCTTAAAATTTGTATAGATTTTTTGAATAATTGTTATTTATCAATTTTAAAATGACTTTTAGAGATTAAAAATAGTGATTTTAAATTTTAGAAGTGTAAAAATAAAAAATATTTTATAGAAATCAACACTAAAATTTATTCATTTCACAAGGAATGTTTATCAATTTTAGAATGATGAAAAATAAATATTTTTTTACAAAAAAATAAAAAATCACTCATTTTATAAACCATATTTAAGTCTAAAAAAAATACATAGAAAATTTTAACTACTTTTATCAAAAAATTTATAAAAAAAAAAGAAAACACCATTTTTCATAATAAATATTTTAGTTCATTTTAAAAATTCTTAATTATCATATTATTTTCACCCAATATAAAATCAACCCATCTTAAAAAACTCAATATAAAAAGTTAAAAACATCACTTATTTATATATATATATATATATATATATATATATATTACTTCGTATGTGTATTTTATATATAAAAAATGTGTAAATCACAAGTAAATGTAGAGATAAAAATTGTGCAAGAGTATAATTTATATAGTCATCTTTTTATTTAATTTTGACTTATTAAAATTTGAAACAATTTTCAAAATTTAGTTATAAATTAATAATATTAAAAAAATAATTTTTTAAAATTTCATGATTATGAATTGTGTTTCTTATTATTTTATGCTAGATATATTTTATAACCTTATAAACTTAATAAAATAAATCACATTTTATCTAGTTATTTTTATTAAAATTCTATTAATAAATTAAAATTTTGGAATGTATAAAAAAAAAATTAACTCTTACGAGATGAACTTAATTGTAAATGAGCTTAAACTTGAATAAGTTCAAACTAAAAAAGAATTCATGTCGAAATAAAGTGAACCAAATATTAACTACACTCATTTTCCACCCTAATCCGATGTCAAAAAATAAAATAAAATTGTGAAAGTAAATGAATTTTTTGTTAATAAACAAATTAAAACAGGGGCAGGCCCAGACCTGTTCATACTTCACTGTACCGGCGGGTGCGTGTATTCTGTAATCTGTATACCTCGCAAGTCAAGTCTGGCTAGCAAGGTCGGTGCAGAACACGTAAAAGGATAGAAAAAGAGGCTCAATCAGTGGAATTTGAATTTAAATATTGGGATAATCATAATACACCTTCATATGATACTTAGTTGTAGAGAAATGTACAGATCCCTGTAACACAACAATCATAATTCCAATTCAAACCGAGTCAAGAACTCGTTCCACTCTTTTATCCTGCGCACCCCTCTCCGTTTATCCTGCGCATCTTTCGCCGCTTTCGGAACTGAGATCCTCTCCTCCACATCCTCAGTTCCGCCATTTCAGGTACTCCTCGATCTATCACACTCTTCAATGTCACTTTGCAAAAATAATTCTCCGTGTTGTTTTCATTTTTGCGATTGAATTTCTTTTCATTATTTTATTGACAAATATATATATATTTTTTTTAATTTTAGTTTTAATTTTAATTTTCCGGCAACATTTGATTTCGGACGGTAATAACTGGTTCCGCGTTTCACTGATCTGCGACTGATAGTTTGTACTTCAGTAGCAGTTTGCTCTGATTGAGGGAACCTGTTTGGATCCGCTTCCGTTTAGCATCTATCGATTGAGATTTGCTGACTGAAACGTTGAGCTTATTATCATAATGGAAGTATTCGCTGTTTTCATGGCTGTGAAGTTTTCACGCTTCAAGGATGACGGAATTATGCAAATAATTTAGAATGTAATCTCAGTTTTCTATTTGATAGTGTTTCTTAGAGTTAGGCAAGGCTGTTGCGTGCTTTAATTAATGTGAATCAAATGAGTGGAAGCATCACGTTACGTCTATTCAAATTTTCATATCATGCGAATGAAATGAAGCTATGCTGTGATGCTTAGAAGTAGAACTCATTGTATTTGGAAAGAAACCACACTCAATAGCTCTATTTCCTTCCCTTTTCAATTGTTGAAAGTTGCAATTGTCACCAGGATGTATCTTCTTTTGTAGGAATGAACATCTTCATGAATTTTTTTATATATATATGTGTGTGTGTATTTAAAGTAGACTGTGTATTCAAAATTACAAAATAACTGTTATTAGAATGATCTAATGGGCTAAATTTTTTCAGTGGGAAAAAATCATGAGTTGTTTTGGCTGTTGCGAAGATGATGACCTCAACAAGGCTGCTGAAAACGGAGGACCCTATGTTGTAAAAAACCCAGCTGGTAATTTGGCTCATATAAGCTTGAGCAATTCATTGGAGATGACATATATATAGTCTGCAACTCTAGGCATTCATGCATCTTTGAGTGATATTTCCATGTCAATTGGAATATTGGATGGAATCAGTAATATGTGATTGAAGTACTGCACTATGAATATTTCATTATTTTAATTTGTTTACTGTGATTTTAGATGAAATTTGAATTTAATGAAGTTATTGTGATAAATTCTATTATACAGGAAATGATGGGAATTACCATGCTTCTGAAACTGCAAAGCAGGGCGCTCAGCCTGTTAAAGCTCAGCCCATTGAAGTTCCTAATATACAAGCAGATGAACTAAAAGAAGTTACGGATAACTTTGGTCAAGATTCTCTGATTGGAGAGGGATCCTATGGAAGAGTATATTATGGTTCTCTTAAAAGTGGGCAGGCTGCAGCAATCAAGAAGTTGGATGCTAGTAAACAGCCTGACGAGGAATTTCTAGCCCAAGTATGTATTAGTGACATTCTTGGCGTAATATTTTTTTGTCAGGTCATTAAATTGTTCAATTCCCATAAACCCTGTTGTTTTTCAACTTTTAGGTTTCAATGGTATCAAGGCTGAGGCATGAAAATTTTGTTCAGTTGCTTGGATATTGCATTGATGGAAGCTCCCGTATTCTTGCTTACGAGTTTGCATCTAATGGGTCTCTTCATGATATTTTACATGGTATATAGTTTTGTGTTTTGCCTTTCAATCGGTCAAATTAGAAAACTATCAACATCTTTAACTGCTATTTGAATTATTTTTCTATACGGTAAGAAGAACTGAGGAGATTATGGCCTTTGACATTGTCTTTTTGTTCTTTTTGCCTTGACAGACAATGTCACTACTTGAGTGATATATTAGTGAAGTCTGTTTTTGTATTATACAATACATAAATGTTCTCATCATTGTTGTTGTACATGCAGGCAGAAAAGGTGTTAAAGGAGCACAGCCTGGTCCAGTTTTGACATGGGCACAACGAGTAAAAATTGCTGTAGGGGCTGCAAGAGGACTTGAATACTTGCATGAGAAGGCTGATCCCCACATAATCCATCGGGACATCAAGTCAAGCAATGTGCTAATCTTTGATGATGATGTTGCTAAAATTGCAGATTTTGATTTATCAAATCAGGCTCCAGACATGGCTGCACGTCTTCATTCTACTCGTGTCCTTGGAACCTTTGGTTATCATGCTCCAGAGTAAGACATGATTATAAACTTACCAATTTCCTTTCTGCCACAGTTGTGAGTTGTGACTAAAGTCACTAGACTAACATTACCAATTCCGATATATCTTTCTTTTTTATATATCTAGTGTTCTGGCCTCAGACTGCTGAATTACTCTATCCATCTAATCTTGTAAATACAGATATGCAATGACTGGGCAATTGAATGCCAAGAGTGATGTATACAGTTTTGGTGTTGTCCTTCTGGAACTTCTGACTGGAAGGAAACCTGTTGATCATACACTACCACGTGGACAGCAGAGTCTGGTTACTTGGGTACTGATTTAAGCTATATGCCTATATCTTATCTTTTCCCTCCCCCTTCTTCCAAACACACACCAATCAAAAGAAAGAGAAACTAAACCTTTTTATTGTGGTCTGCTTTCGACTCTAAAATCCTAGCTGATGGCAGCAATTGATATATGTTGTTTCAGGCTACACCAAAACTTAGCGAGGATAAAGTCAGGCAGTGTGTTGATACACGACTAGGAGGAGAATACCCACCCAAAGCTGTTGCCAAGGTGCTCACCGTCTTTTAGTATATTTTTCTTCACTATTTATTTTATTTTTTATTTTCTTGCTTAGGTGGTGTTGAATGTTCATGAAAATGTTCTATAACTTATATTTTAGTTGAAATTGTATGCATATGAATTGGAAAACTATGCAAAGCAGATTACTAGAGATAGCATCAGAATTTTATATTTGGTTTAGGTAGTAAATAGTAAATAGTAAATACTATGCAAAAGACCAAATTTTGAGTCTAAAACTATTGTATCACTTCCTTTATGTGGTAATTTGTTGGATATATTAATTAGTTGAGCAATGAGAAGACAATGTCTTTATGTTGTTTATGATCTCAATTTCAGTACGAGTAACTGGTATTCATCATGCTAGAGGAAATATACAAATACTTTACTGCTTAAACAAATACAATTTTTTTGTATTCTGGGAATCTTTATAGGAACCACTGATACCCTGGACAACTGCCCTTAAAGATAAAATACTTAAGAACAATACTCATGGATAACATGATACCTGGTTAATTACAGATGGCTGCTGTTGCTGCACTGTGTGTGCAATATGAAGCTGATTTCAGACCAAACATGAGCATTGTAGTTAAAGCTCTTCAACCTTTGTTGACTGCACGACCTGGACCTGCCGGTGAAACACCAAATTAATCTCTCTGTATCTCTTTCCCTCTATATTTGAGAGTATGTGCACAAGAGTGCTTGCAAAACATAAGAGACTACTTCAGAAGCTGGTGGTAAATTGCTCAAGGATGACTTTATATCTCATTGTTTACACTGCATTCATTTTGTTCATAATCCATGATGGTCTGCCATTTCCTTGCTTTTATTCATTTTAATGTATTTGTTTTCTCCATTTCCCCCCCCTTTTACCCTCGCTGCTGGGTTGATTGCCATCTTTACAATGAAGTGTTGGGAAAAACTACAAAACAGAATTCAATATACTCAAAGCTAAGAGAAAGTCAATGGACTCTCTCTCTACTAGAAACAGTTATTCACAAAGAGCCGTGCTTATTATATTGATTCTTTTAATTTTTTTATTAAAATGTTTCTCAAATTGAGAGTTGTATAAATTACTCATAATTTCAATTCCAATGTTTTAGGAAGAAAAGAAAATATTGTTTCATGCTAGATGTTTGTGATTTAGTTTTCTAACCATAATTATTTCCTTTCCTTTTCTATTTTCTTTGGGTGAATTGAGTGTTACGAATTATGCTCGAACGATATTGCCTTAACTTGCGATGCAAAGTGTTTATAGTGTCATACAAGTCTTCTTTAAAGTGGATCCATCTTTAACTTGAGGTGTGATTTACTTTGAATTGCATGGTGATCTTAACATAATTTGTGATATAATTACATTTTTTTTTATTATGGCTTATATAATTTTACACTTTAATTAATGATCTGATTACCTATGATAACCTTTTTTCTAATTAAGGTTTTCTTTTGGGCGGTGATGACATTGTGCCGTTGTCCTCTGCTCTGTTTGGTGCGTAGATCAGAATCAATTCCAATGGCAAATATAAATAGCGAAGATTATCATTAAGGAACGTTTAATGAAAATAATTTCAAGGTAGAAACATTAATTAAGTATTTAAGAAATGTTTTGAATATGGCCATATGGGTAGGTCATTGAACCAGTCAAATACCAGTCCCAGTTATAATGATTCAATTATGATTATGCTGACATTGATAATAATAATAATAATAATAATAATAATAATAATAATAATAATGTATAAAATAAAATAAATATAATACCATAATTTTTAATACTAAAAGTTAAATAAAGTATCAATTTATAGGAATAGTTAAGTTTAAATTTAAATAAAGTATAATGTTCAATAATAATAGTAAGTTTATAAAAATATTATATATATATATATATATATATATATTTTAACATAATTTCTACATAATTTTTATTTATTTATTTATTTATTATTATTATTATTATTATTATTAAAGAGATTGAGATACTTTGTGATTATAAGGATATAAGAAGGTTGAAGTAGTTACTTAAGAGGATATTAGAAAGTTGTGGATAATTATATATAAGAGTTTTTTTTTTTTTTTTTTATATCTTAAAGGTATAAAAGTTTACTAAAAGGTTGGAAAAAAAAAAAGTTATACACCTCACTAAAGGGACTAATAATTATATAGATGGTTACATTTTTTTATGTATTTTTTTTAATTTTATCTTTTATCCATAAAAAAATACTGTATAATTGAATGCATAAAAAAAAAAACGAAGCAATTATTTAAAAATGTATTCTTTTTATTAATTTTGGACCAGTGACTGATTCTCGACCGGTTCATACTAATTCTGAATTTTTTGAGTCACCAAACTAGTTTGGGTCATGCTATCTAATTACAAATGATGCCTGTTTAGTATGTATTGGATTTCTTGTTTGCTCGTTTAAGAAAGATATTCGTTGCCTGTAGCAAATTTACAATTACAAATGATGCCTGTTTAGTATGTATGGAAATATTATATTTTTGTAAAACTACTAGATTTACAACCTTTTATTTATATATAAAATAATAATATATAATTATGATATATAATTCAGTTGATAATTTTTTTTTAAAATAAATGTCTAATATATTAATACTTAGACTTAAGATTTTTTTCCCCCAAAAATATTGAATACAATACTCCTTATATATTAAACTCAAACCACTATCTAATACTAAAACGTCTGATTTTCTTTTAAATTTTTATCTAATTAAATTTTTATTTATTATAATTATTTATGAAGTTTCTTGTCTTTTGGTTGAATTGTATGATCCATATGCAATACTTGAGTTTATGTCACTTTAGAGTTGATTCATTCCTAGATCTATTTCTTGCCTAAAATTGATGGATCTAGCTTGAATGATTTATATATGCATTTTATCTTAATTGCTTTTCATGAATCATGCTCCACATCTTATGCTATTAGGAAAATTTAGCTTATGAACCTTTTGTGTTTTTTGAGTCTTACTTGAAAATTTTTTTCCGGTCAATTGATTGTTTGAGTCATTTAATTTTTGAATCCATGTCTAGTGTCATGTGTAGTTCTTTATTTGTTGTTAATTCTTAGCTATGCTTGTTTCACTTTTTGTTGTCATTGTCTTGTGAAATTTTTCTAGATTTGGCCGAAATCATTTTGGTTTAGTGTGCTCATAATTTTGCTTTTGATTTGAGTTCATAAACTACTATTAGATCATTAGTAGTTTTCTTAATTCTAGGTTTCCTTTGCTACAAAGTGTCTTCAATTTTTTTTGTCTAATTCCGTGAGTTTGATTTTGTATATCTTTTGGTTAGTGAAATTTTTTTTTTAGAAAATTTTGAAATTCAAATTTGGAGCCAAAACCATGGCATGTGGTTAAGACAAAACAAGTGACAAAAGCATGTTACATTTCATTACATGTTGACCTAATTTGCTTGTCATTTGCATTCTAATTTGAAAACGGTTTTGTGCTTTGAAAAAGACATGACCGAGAATTGAGATTTCAAAATTCAAAGGCAAAAAAAGGAATCTCCTAAAATATAAAAAAATAGAACAAAAGTGCAAAAGAAAATTCAAAAGAAATTTGATTAAAAAAATATATATATATATTCAAACCTAATTTTCAAAGTAAAAGCCAAAAAGGAGATTGTGTTGTTTTGGTGTGTGCTTCTCGGTTTGTTATTGTATAACTTGAGTAACATACATTTTCAGCTTGCAAACTTTGAGTGTTTTGAGTTGTTATTCAAATTCTAGAACCTATCTAGGTTTCTTCCTTCTTGTACTAGCTTAATTATATTCTTTGCTCATCTATATTGTCTACTCTTATACTCCATTTGTCTTGGTTAAATCTCAATTTGTCTTGGCTGTTTGTGTTCATATTGTACTCAAAGTGTGGCCTAGTTTTGACCTAGTCTATCTCCATAGAGACTAGTTCTACAAGGGTCATCAAAAGAGGACTAAGATAAGGAGGAGGAAGGTGACAAAGGAGAGCTTCTCGGATTGGCTACCAAAATCAAACACCAAACACTTTTTGTTGCTGGAATTTGTGTGGCTGCTGCACTTCTACAAAACCGAGAAGATACATTGGAGAACATTTCACTTTGTATTAATTTATTTTTTAAAAAAAGCAGAGTATTAGTGACGGATTTAGAGACCAATTTTCCATCACTAATTTGAATTTTCATTACAAAAGTGGTCTCTAATTTCTTCACTAATTTTGGTGGCTGTTTTTGTATTTCCTTGAAGCCATTTGTTTACTTTTCTGTCCAGCTTTTAATTCCATTGTAATTGGCCATTTTAGGAGTGTCTTGGGAGTGTCTTTGGTACACAACCATCTCTCCTTAGGAACATTAATTTCGTTAGACTTGGTGGAAGTGGTCCTTGATTAGTCTTTGGTACCTCTCAAGCTTTCACCTTAGGCAATACTTGAGTTTATGTCACTTTAGAGTTGATTCATTCCTAGATCTATTTCTTGCCTAAAATTGATGGATCTAGCTTGAATGATTTATATATGCATTTTATCTTAATTGCTTTTCATGAATCATGCTCCACATCTGACATAAAAGTTCTCTAACATAAATTATTTTACTTCAAGTTCACTTTTAATCAAAACTTAATTAGATTAATTGCAATTTTCTTTATCGGTATGTTTCATAATTTTATGAAAAAATTTATTCAACTTATATTTTTTTTTACATTTTATCACACTAGTATTTGAATATTGACATGGCACATTGATCAATCATGTAATACATTAATTGATGATTTTGATTACTAATATGTCATATAAACGATGACATGATGTAATGTTTTATGTCCACGGTCAATGTGATATATATAAACGATTAATATATCATATCGATGGTCAATGTGATATATAAACGATTAATATATCATATCGATAATCAATATTTCATGTTAATAGTTAACTAATTAAGGATAATATATAATTAATTAATGAGGTGGTAAAATATGTAAAAATTTGAATATTTGGTGAAAAAATAAATATTAGAGTTGTCGAGCCACTCGGCCCAGCTCGGTCTAGTCTACCATGGGTTGAATATTTGGTAGGCCAACCCAACCCGACTCATTTATTAGTGAGCTAAAAAATTCGAACTGGTCTGGCCCACTACGGGTAGGTGGGTTAAACGGGTTGACTCACCTAATTTTTTTAAAAAATGTAATTTTTTTTCATCTTTTTTTTTTCTTAATATACAACTAAAGCCCAAAAAGCTCAAACCTAGTTTAAAATTTTTAAGATTCTTAATTAAGACATCCATAAATGAATCATTCATCCCAAACATTAATAAGGTGCGTGGCACAGGTGGTGGTGCCAGGACAACAATGGTGGGTGGCCCGTGGCCCCCAAACAATGCGCATGGTGCGAGGTGACCTGGGGTGGTGACATGCGCGGTGGCTCGCGACATGCGCAGTGGCGTGTGGCGCACAATGGTGCATGGTGCGAGGTGGTTCACGGCACAAGCTGTGGTGTGGTGGCTTGGGTGGTGTGTGTCCCGTCGTGCCTTAAGCGTGAGTGTGAGGTGCGACTATGTGAGCGGTGGCATGGTGTGGTGAGTGAACGTGAGAGGGTGGTTGGTGGTGGTGGGTGAGGCCATGAGCGTGAAGGTGGCTTTAGCTGGTGGGTGAGGGGCTGGTTGCACTGAGGTGGGTGAAGGGTTGGCTACATTGCGATGAGGTGTGAGGGGCTATGAAATTTAGAACTTGAAAGTTGAAACTCTATCTCATTTGTAACCTATCTAAACACTGGATTGAAACTTGAAAGTGAAAATTGCAAACTACAAAAGATGAAAAATAGACCCTATCTCACGTTGGGTTGTATTGTGGTCCAATAATTGTTGCATTTTTTTTAATCTTGGGTTGGTAAACCAGCCCGGCTCACCACATGTTCAACCCAAGTGAACCGGGTTATTGGGCTCAAAATTGGCCTGTACTAAAATTTTTAATTTTTTTTCAACCTAACCCAGTCTGAACCTGTGGTAAGTCAGGTTTGGCTCACCGAACAGAACCCACTTTGATAACTTTAAAAAATATGTAATTTTAAAAGTTAAGTAACAAAATTCAAGAAATTATAAGATTTAGGTAGCAAAAAGTGCGATCAAACCAAATTAATTTAAAATCAAATTTTTAAATACTTTCCAATCAATCACACATTTATCCAAATTTGGGTATGAATTTAAAATATTAAAATAGAAAAACATTTCATTCATCGTTAAGATAACATTTTCATAATCTATACTATTAATAAAGGAGATGATCTCATTTGATGTTCACATTTTTGAATAATTTTACCCTTATAACTACTCTTTTACAAATTACAAATTTATTATTTTTTTTAAAAAAAATTTACTTTTATAATCACTTGTATTTTTAATAATCATTTACTATATTATATAATTCTTTTTATGGAGATACGGAGTGCCTTTTTATTGATTCAAAAATCAACCAAATCCTATTAATTGGAAATAAAAATAAGGGTATATATATATATATATATTTTTATATATATATATATATATATAATGATAATGATTTTTGTATTATCCGTATCGCGAAATCGAACTTAAGTTTGGCGCTAAAGCGCTAAACGACATCGAATGAGTGCTACCAGACATCGGCCAGAATGAAGGCCTATTATCTGAACGAGTCATAACCAACCTTAGGCCCACGGCCTAGATAAACCCTAATTCATACCAAGGTACGTGCATTATATATATGAGACACATACACCCACATATACTAACTTTAGCATCGGAGTCTCTTTTACAGGTACCACCCCCACTTCGGAATAGCCGACGTACCCAATAAAAGAGGCTCACCAATCTTACCCAACAGATCGTCCCCCACGACCGATCTCCAGTAAGAATAATTTCTTTTTTGTTAGCATAAGAATGAGAATGATTATTATTGACTTAAGTTAAAATAAATGATTTAAATTTAAAGATTTGAATAAATTTATAAATAAACCGTCGTTTATACTATTGTGGTTACTTTTCATTGTCGTCATCGCTACAATTATTGTCACTACATTATCATCATGACTACCTCCGTCATTCTTCTTTTATTGTTGTTATCACTACTATTGTTGCTATTACTAAAGTGGTGAAGGTGATGACATTGACAATGACAATAATAATAATGTCAGAATGATAATGATAGTAATTTTGGTGATAAAAATAATGATAATGATAATGATAATGTTGATAATAATATTAACAATTATATTAATGATTTTAACAAAAAAATTTAATTTAAGCTATCTAAGAGTTAAAATTAACATTCTCATCCTTAAGCAAGAAAGCCATTAAAATAAATAAATAGAATTAATACGTAATTTGAACCGTGAATTTTAATTTAATATATATATAATTGAATTTTTATTTTTACTTTTTCACGATAGGTATTCTCACTCCATATACCCCTAATTAAGACTCAAATTGTCTTCTAATGCGTAAAGTCCTCTCATCTTAATTCATGGTAACAATAGTAACTCAAGTCCACCACTAACAATCCTGCGGTTTTGCAAGAACAAAGGACGAGTATAGATTGAAAAGCGGTTCAAGACTCAACTATTCTTGGTCATAACAATGCAAGAAA